TATATATATATATATATATATATATATATATATATATATATATATATATATATATATATATATATATATATATGTTCAAAATGAATTGCACATAAAACTCACTAAAAAGACCAGTCTCTTCCAAAACTTCAAATTTTGGGAATAAAACTAAATCAGTTAATGGGAAAATTTTCATGATATTGTTTAGAATTTGATAACATGATCAATAATGAGTCAGTTCATTGAATGCATTGGGAGATGTGCTACATAGGATTCAGGTAACCCTGAGATGATCTTGTTTTAATAACGCAATTCATGGTGAACAATGATATAATGATCAAACATAAGTATAACTGATAACCCCCTAATTACTTCTTAATCATTGTTATAAACTCAAGAACTAGATATTTTTGAACTGGAAGTAATAAAGTAAGTTATTAAGAAAAGAAAGAATGAGAAAAAACCATAATCATTACATCCATTGCATCGTGATGCTAAGAAAGGGAAGAAACAAACTTGAAAGAATAGTAATTCTTCCTTGGAAAACCTGCGAAATGTTCTATAATACAGGTATCATTGTGGTTTCATCGGATAATGATATGAATATTAAGCATTTTAGGAAAATCATCAAGGAGAAAAAAAGCGAAATGACTTCAATAACTCTTAAATGTTAAAGTATATTTGTAAATTTATCAGGTATTAAAATATTGGCTTCGAGCAACTGACCAATGTTACAAGTTTTACCTAACGTAAATAGATAAGAAAAAAGATTTCACTAAATTTTTGGTTTTTTTATGGATTTAATTTTCATTATTATCAAGTATTTCATGAAACTGCATATATGATGATATGCTGCTAGAGAAAGTAAAACTTTACTAAATGTTGAATGCAGTATAATAAGATGTGTGTTTACGTGATCATCTAAAAATTACGCCATGTTTTTCTACATGTAACTAACAGTTTGAGGTATGTAAACATCTTTCATTCTGGTGATAAAAAATAAAAGCGAAGGGCATTGTCAAATTTTACCCATCCCTACCTTTCGGAATATGCCAAATCACGTGCAATGCTGACTTTTCAGTGTTTGACCTTTATGCCGCTATTGAATCACGTTAACCCGTCCTGATACCAATGAGCATAACCTAAAATTAGCCGCCGCAAACCGAAAGAGTTGTTGTTCATTTTTCTTAGCGTATATCGTGGCTTTGACCTGTAGTGGTATTGTTGTGTGCTTACTTTTATCTTGATATTCAGGAGATTTATCTCGTTTAGTGGTTCCTGTTCGGTACTTTTCGCAGAAGTGATATTTATATGATATTTACCCAAGTTATTTACAAGATCTTGACCGGAATAAATCACGTACATGATTTCTAGGATACTTTTCATTCTCGCTTTTAATGAAAGTTTCCATCAGAAATTGATTGATATCGTAATTGCTTTGTTGTATCTGCGTGACTTTATGCGTTATCTAATGTCTTCCAATGTCTGCTCTCACTTTGTAACATATGTGTAAAAATTGTGTAGTGGTGTTGACTTTAATGGGAAATCTCCTTTTTAATTAACTAAATATCTCTTGTTAAAACGAACGTTTCCTTCTTTATATTATTGTTACCATAGATAAATTTTTATCTGCAAATGAATTTTATCCATTTTTTTTTGCAAATTTGTGCAGATGGATCGGCCCATCGAATCAAGAAATCCGGAAATAGAAATGCAAACGGCCACATCCAGTTCTACAATAGCTGATCAACAGCATACTTTCGTGGTCGAAAATCTGGAAAGACGGATCCGTGACAGTATCAAACAAAACAGTATGCCATCGGATGAAAGTCAAACCTCGCTGCAGAGTATCTCAAGTAGTTTCGTACCTGATCCCGAGATCATAGCAAGCCTTGAAAGCTGCGCAAATACCATTTCAACTAATCTAAATGTTGTGTTACATGATTTACGTGGTTCACTGAAAGGTAAGTTTTTAGTTGAAATATACAGTGATTATGCTACAAAATACGTCTCCTTCCGTTGCGTTTCTTCTGACGATCAACACATGGAAAAGTATTCAACACTTGGAGATTGTTTTGAAGTTTAGTGAAGCATACTATTTTGAATTACGTATTATAGCACCACGGAAATCCCCGTTACTAATACTCGATACAGCATATCTTCCCCACGTCTTTTTTCGTATACGCTTTGCACATGGAAAGTTGACGCCTATCCAACCAAAACTAATGTCAACAAGCGAATACTTTGCTGTTCTTTTTAATCCATCCTTCAGTTCCTTAATATTTCCTTTATAGTTTCCCGAAACATTATTAAACACTTTTTCTCTTTTCACTTACCTTCAAAATTGCCACAAATATCGGAAGACTATTCAGGAATGAGTGAGTTAACCGTTCAAGCTACGGAATGTTTTGCTGATGCAATTTCCGCTTCCTGTAATTCGGTGGATGCTACCATCAAGAATACTTATGCCCTGCTGGCAAAAGTAAGCAGCTGTTTTGTATGCGGCTTCTGGATAAATAAGATCGACTTTGAGAAAAGTCGAAGTCTTCTCGACATCTTTAAACCTGCAAAATGCCGGGGGGACTTGCTGTACCTTTAAAACAGTTCGAGAAATTAACCGATGGACTATGGAACTAAACTGCTTTTTTCATTATATTCTCAAGGGTGCCCATTTAGAGATGCTTTACTTTTAGTATGGTGGGCACATTTGTCTTGGATAACTTCTTACGTAAATATAAATATATCTCCATTTTTTAATGTAAACAGTTACGGTCTGATTTGTCTGTAACTTTTTTTATCTTGTACTTCTCATATCAGGTCGAGGAAGTTAATGAAGCAATGGCTGGCATACGAAAATTGTCTCAACAAGTAAAAGATATAAAATCTATTGTGGATTTATTTGAAATACAGCTGGTAACAGGTTCGATGGCACAACCTTAATATTGTTTTTTGTAATTTAATACAACTTAGTATAAATTTTTAATACAAAAAGTCAGGGTATCAAGAAAATATTACTGTAAGCATTGAAATAAGAAAACAAAGCAAAATGGCAAACGATAACTAAATGACTTAGAAATATTTGGTGGCAATTGATAATATTTTTGAAAATTGTAAATTTGCTCGTTTCCGCTGAAGAACTGCTGGAATCGGCATCAGTACTCGAGTTCCAAGAGGATTTCCTTCGTCATCCTAGAAAAGATGCATTTTCCAAGAATATAGGGCAAAAAAAAGGGAATAGTGGAGTATTTTAGAAAATTCACTTCGAAACTTTGAAATACATTGAAAAACAGTAACTAGTAAGAGGTGCTACTTTCTAATGTAAACAATAAGCTTGCAGATCAAGGGATATGCAAACAAGTTTCACGTTTGTTCCTCCTGCCTTAACAATTCTTTCGAAGCAATGTGTTTTATCCATATCGTAGAATAGGAATTTATATCGATTGGTCTTAGTTGATCAAAACTTCTCAGATCCTTTCAAAAAATAAGGTGTTGGAAGGACGATCAAATTTAGTGTGATTAGTTCATAATTCAAGGTGATGAGATATAATCTAGCTTATCACATCCTGAAATCTCCATCCTATTTCTCTTTCTGATATAAGTAAGCAAGAATTTAAAGAGAAGGTTAGACTGCGGGGGAAAAGGAAAAGATAGATGGTGAAGTAAGTAAAGTGATCTGATCGACTTATAAGACCGCAATGGAAGTTAAGTTTAAATAAGCTGACATGGAAGGCCGATGAAAATTAAAAATATAGCTGAAAAAGGCAAGAGTTTTAAAGCAGTCAAACTGACTATTCCAATAACTGACCCTATTAAACCATACTTCGAGTAACATATAATTAGCAAAATTTGTACTTACAAGAAGTACGATGTTATTGGTATCCGTTGAGGGTATTCCATGCTTTCGATAGTCTACATCAATTTTAGCTCCCACCACAAACGCCTGCTTCATCTCTCCTCGTATTGCAACCAAAATCTAAGAAGAATCTCATAATATCTGAATTTGACCCTTTCTTAAAATGATTGTTTAAAAAGTTTTATAAAATTACTATGCACGAGGGCTGATTATATTCAGTTTATGAAGCTAATCATCAAATCATCCCCTCCAGTTTACCTTGACATTATGATTTATTATGTACTAAGCCATAATATGACCTATCGTGTACAAAGTAGAATACAAAGTAGAGTCCATAACGATGGGAAAAGTTACCTTATCGCCAAGTGTCGCGTGTGGCATATGTTTCTTTCGGCCACCCGGTTTGTAAACATCAATGCAGTAGGCTAATTTACCAGATGTATTGGCTTCTTTACCTAGTGCCGAATTGTCGACGACCAGCAACCGTGTGCGTCGCGCGATACCTGTACTGGGTGGTCGAGTTCGATGTCGACTCAATTCGTGCCTGAAACAAGGCCAGGAACTGTGCATGTTACCGTTTTCGAATCTGTGCTCTCATCGTTTGAATATTATTGAATAATTAATGTTAGCTTGAACTGTCGGAATGCATCACTCATATTCTCGAGTAACTTTCCGCAGAAGTATTTGACACTTTCTTTTCCCCCATGTTCCTCCTGAAGAACAGGTTCTCCCATCCCGAAAAATATTCGCTACACCCTTAACAGAATTTCCGAATTCGTTCTTTTATTCCGATACACAAAGTATGCTTATGTACTTATGATAACTACTGCATAGAGTGAAATTATTCTAAATGCATTTTATCAGCCCAGTATAAGAAAAAACAATTGATGAACGGTAATAACGAATACATGATATATATATTTATGAGGGCGGATAAAATCAACGGACAGTATTTCTAATCTTCAGTCGCTCATCATAAACTAATCCGGAATTAAGACAAATCGAAAAGGGCGATTTCTACGGTGTAAAAGAAAAGCAAACCACCTTTAAATTGCACCTTGCAAAATATTTCGCTATGCGCACCACAATATAAGTACAATGAAAATATTGTGAAGCTCATAAACATGTATATCTTGAAAATAAACAAAAAACGAGCTAGTTTACGGATCTAACAATAATTACAATTAAGAAATTAATTCCCAGAAAAAGTAGCAATGTTATCGAATGTACTATCCCTTTATATATGCAAGATATCCGAAAATATCATTTTGGTCGTCCTAATAAATTGAAAAGAGAGCAAAAGGACTTTTGATTTTTAGGCATAACCGTTCAAAAAACTCTCTTCTCTCTTTCGTATTTTCCTTCCCTTCTCCCTCTTTATATCTCCCCCACTTGCACAAAAGAAATACTTATTATCATAATTATTTTTTCTCTTTGTAATTCAACAACTTTCAGAGTGTACCAAATTTGCAGAACCGAAAATAAATCAGCATAACAATTTTATGCAACATTTGCTTCGGAACACTGAGGACGTATTTGTCGTAGTGAAGAGGGAAGTGTTTCTTCACCTGCTATCTCATCTCTTTCCTCTCTTTGTGCCATCTCTTCCCTTAATTCTGCATCAGAATCATTTACCTAAGCCTAAATGTAAAAGGCACCATTCCATATTTTTGATTTTCTAATTTGCAATGCAGCATTTTCATGCTGGTAGGGACAATGACGACAACCACTACCACAACATTTCCCTCTTAACAAATGTTGTGATACAGTCATTACGAGAAAACCCTTTTTTGGATCTTTGTAAGATAGTCGTCGTTGTCGGATAGCCTTCAAATGAGCCATGTAAATGTCACGTTCCTCAGTCGTCATTCCCAAATATGTTTGCCATGGCACCTTCGCCTTTGCCATCGAATCTTCGAACAAAACATAATTTGCTACAAGTTGTCCATCCTCACCAATTTCTGTTTTGTAAATATTTTTGCCAGTTCCACGTGGTTTAGCATATACAGGTGCTGCTGCTTCACGCGACAGTTTAAGGGACGATAACTCGGAGTCAGCAATATCCGAAAGTGCTGATTCGCTTTCTGTAGAAGCAATAACAACTGCACCATTAGTAATATTGGTAATCTCTGTTGTCTGTTCCACTTCTTTTTCTTCAGAAGAATTGGAATTTCCCAAATTCCTTTTATCAGTAAAGCAAGAGGACATACTATTACACCGGCAATAACATATATGTCGCCTGAAATATCTGCAAAACTTTCCACATGGCACTTCATCCAAAAAAAACAATTCTGCAAAAAGCCAGAATAGACCATCGCAAAAAATGCAATTGACGAGCTTTTACTACATGGTTTTTATAAAGGCCAGTAATGAAGTGAAGGTACAGAATTTTCGAAAATGAAGAAAAATGGAAGATTTCTCAGAGATAATAAAAGCAAGGAAAAAGCCTGATTAGGTCACCCTGAACAGCATGAAATGATGAGGAATCAATGGTTTTCGTTTCTTTTATTTCCAACATCACTTTACTTCGAAAGAGAAAAAAAATTGGACAAAGATTTTTGAAAAAAAAGCATCGTAGTAGTTTAAAAAGCATCGTCAGAACAAGGAATAAGTGTAAAAGAAATTAAAATTAATAAATGTTGGTTAAAATTTTAGAACCCTCAAGAATTCTTTAAATTTACTTATGACATTTTTATTTTTCAACTATTCCAGAGCACCAGTCTCTGTATAATCTAATCGACAGTCTTCATAGAAATAATTCCCAATTCTTGGGAAGGAAATTTCCAGATAGCAATCAACTGGAAACAATGCAAAAATACTCCGCTTCTACCTGAACAACTCATAACTTATGCTTTCTAAAATTATCTTGAGCTTGCACTATGCAATCAATGATGATTTTTTATTCATAGCAAATAGTAATTAATAACCAGAAGAAATACAACCAAGTACTCTCGGATAACCAAAAGTCTTTTCAAACTGGATTGCTTTACCTGACATTTCGACTACCTAGAAATTGTACATTCTCTAAAGATAACCTACATGAATATAAAAACATGCTATATTCTTCGCAAGATTAACGAGTAAATATTAAATTTCCAACCAAGCAAAATTTTAACAAAGAAACTCCAGGAATTTTGGAATTCTACAAAATTATAAGGGAAAATTATAAGGGACAAAATTATAAAATTACAAAATTATAATTCTACAAAATTCTACAAAATTATAATGTGAAAATTTTTGGAACTAACATTGGTTGGGGCCACCATCGTCCGGATGCCAATGCTTTCGAGATATGTAAACAAATATCCGGTACTGTAAGTCGCTGAATGTTACATACTGCTAATCCAAGCATCTGTAACCATTATTTCAAAAAATTATGATGAAGACGTAACATCTCTATCTATCTTTATCTCTAAATTAAGCATTTTAAAACGTATGGAAGAAAGACATAGTACTTTTTGAATCTTGATAATTGGAGAGCTAAACAGTATGGACAAAAAACAGCAACCGTTTGTCAGAAAAATGCTTCATAAGTTCATCTTATATTAAAAATTCAAAATGACAATAAGTGAAAAAGTGAATAGAACAATATCCCTTACATCTGAAAATCAAAAAATCCCCATAATAAATACCTTCGTCAAACATGAACCAAAACCTTTAACTTGCCAACCAGCGCAACCGGTTCACTTCTGACAGACTTACAAACTTCACAAATCAAGTACTGATTGAAGTACTGCAAAAATATTTGAAAATGTCGAATTTTTATTTCATGGAAACACTTTAGAAAAGAAAGTACTTCAAAAGGATTAGATGGTAGCAATATTTATTCGAAATACGCCAGCTCACACAAATGATACCTAATGCTTCCTAGCGGCATATAACCTAGACCAGTTAACGTATCATTCAACTTCATCTAGCTTGCAATGCAATTTTACAAACAGAGATAAAGACCAGCACTCTGATGACATCCTAAATGTAAACAGTTCCAGAAAGTATGATCTTTACTTGACATAATTAAATTTGGAGAATTGAACTCATAAATTCCCAAACTACTGACCCAAACCACACACTACTAATTGATCAGGCGCAGTAATATGGCCGAATTTAAGAACACATGGAAAGATATTTCCGGATCCGTGAGAATTTACCGACCCTCTCAATCAAAATTCATGAAAACCTGCCAAATAACAAACTAAAGTAAATAAAGAGAGATCTAGAACAGATAGAACAGATCAGTACATCAATCTTCGATGAGGTAAATCACATATCATACAGTTAAAAATCCATGATTTTAGTAAAAAAATATAATTGATTCCACATCAAAATACGTAAGGATTTTAAACGGAAAAATATATTTGAAATTTTATTGATTCATAACAATAATATAAGAACAATAAATTATGCGCCGAAAGCATGAAATTTCGACAAACAATTTGACTTCCAAACATTAAGTCAAATTGATCACAGAGCAGCAATCCACGTCTGTATTGCTCCAATCTCACACTGTTTGTCATTACCATTTTCGTTCGTTTCCTTTACAAAACACTCAATGAAATCCAAGCGTGGGGTTGGTAAATCATCCCACCGGAAATTTTTGCCTGAAAAATAAAATAGCTTTTATGAGATAAGTCCCTAATATCACCGGAAATTTCTATTAAACTCCGAAACCAGTTCCCTTAGCCTTGTAGTCCTTGAATCAACCGTCAGGATTTCAAATCTTGTTTTCAATTTCTATAAAAGTATCACACCTCATGCAGCAAATATGAAAGCAAAAACATACCTGTACTAGTTAAGGCTCTCTTACTTGCTGTCCCATCAGTGGAATCTAAAGCTGCTTCACGTGATCCATTGATGTAGCCAAATTCCCGTTCCAACGCCGTTCGTACGGCCTTCAACAATTGATCTTATAAATCTCAGTAGCACAATTTTTCCAGAAACTATTGGTGGTACACCACAAAACTATCCGGAAAAAACACCCCATCAATTCTTATAAACCTGGGAGGAAATACGCTGTTATATCAGAAAAGATGATTCAGATGGTGTTAAAATCATAGTAAAAAATGGGCTGAGATCGAATAGTTCACCGGAAAAAATTTTAAAAATTCCATCTCAGAAAAATTTCGAGATCGACGCAGATAATACCTGTGAACTTTTAGCCAGTGGGCAGTTCTGCTTGTTGCATGCCACAAGTATCGGAATTTTCTTTTCTGACTCATGTAGGACATCATAGAGGAATGCTGCAACGTCGCGGGATTTCTTGCTAAACGTTGAACTGTCGAGAACGAAGATAATACCTTTCAAGCTACCTCGATTCTATAATAATAGTACTTAACAAACAAATTTCGACACACCACAAAGTTCTGAACTCAATCTTTTGATAAACCTTTAACTTATTAGAAAAAGGACTTAGTATTTCGGAAACTTTCATCTCAATTCAAAAACTGGCTAGAACAGACCCAACATGATATATTCAGCTGTACATCTCCAAAAAAAAATACCTTTATAAGAATATCGTTATCGCGTTAGAGCAATAGGAGGAGTGAAAGTCGCAGGAGTTAATATGATAGGGGAAAGGAAAAGTAAGCGTTGAATTACGACTACAATCTCTAAAACCATTCAGAATTTACCTTTTGCAGGTAATTCCCAAAAAGCTGCTTTCGAAGCCTTTCAGATCCAGGAAAGTCAATCAATGTAACCAATGTATCATTCGTTATTGAAACGTCTTCACAACGATTTTCTTTTAAAGATGTGTAAGTTTTTGGACTGTATTCTAAAAGCATAAAAACGTCTTTTCAACATGCTAAAACCAAAGACTTTTCGATTTCCTCCTAAGCATTTTTTTTTTAAGACTGGTTCAGTTCTTACAAAATTTCAAATTTTAAGAATAAAGAAATGCAAAAATATAGTTGCTTTCGTTGTGAGAACTGAATGACAGCTTGAACTTGTAATATAACTAAAGAACCAATAACGATTTCTGTAATGAAGGGTTTTATCAGAACTAACTAATTTTGTAGAATGTCATGATGCAGCCGCATTTTACGAAAATCTTCACCGCATAACTGAGAAATAGGATAACAGGGAAAACTGAGAATTCCTAATTTAAGCGGTAGTACCCAAAATAGTTATTCAGTACTACAAGAATGAAAACACTTACTTGGATTGATTAGCTTCGAAAATAGCATAGTTTTCCCCGAGTCGGATAACCCTACGATAAGAACTGTATTTCCACGCGTAATTTTTCTATTTAGGATATATGCGAGTATCGAGATAAATACCACTACGAAAGCAGCCCAAATTCTAATCGTCATACTAAACCAATTGTAATCCATTGATTCACTTCGAACCTGGTCCTCCATCCTGGAAAAAAGAAGCTATCTGAAGCGTTATCACAATCTTTCCATTATACATAATCTTCATTGACAAAGCTAACTACATTTGGTAGCATTTTATCATACAGATTTTCATAAAATCACTTCAATCACTGAATCAAAACTTTAGAAAAAAAAAGTCAAATGGATCACGCACCAGTTATAAGGCAAAAAATGAACAAATAAATAAAATGAAAATAAAATGAATAAAATATGACGACAAAAAACCAATTGCAGAGATAAGAAAATAAATGCAATGGAATCTTTATAACAAAGTATGTACAACGAATGTAATTATATAATAATAATAATAAATGCATGTAATGAGCAACAACAGTAAAAATATCCTCGACGACAATGGTTGACCAGTGCAATGCATTTCTCGACAATATCACAACAGCATGCAAAATATAAATTCATCGTCCAAGACAAATTCAGTTAATGACAGTTGTTAAATTCCTCATTCATCGAGTTAAATGACTCCATCAACTAACTGACCATAATGATCAACTAAGTATTACCAAGGAAAAATGAAAAAATCTAGCAACATGAATTTGAAACTTCTTGCGCTGAGAAAAATGTATAAAGAAATAATGTATAAATGAAAAAGAAATGTATAAATGAAGTTTTTTTAGAGCATTTCTGTCAGAACAAATGAATTATGAAGAAAAAATATAAAAGCAAATGTATTATAAAAATGAATTTGCCGTAAGTCATCCTTTCAAAATTTATATACGTAAACCTCAGAAAATTAATGAATATCCATAAATTAAACTTAGAATGAAAATTTAAGGAAGGAGAGTCTTGACAGAGAAAGTATAAGTTTTGCAAAGGTAAGGGAGTAATAACTCTGAAAAAGACAGGGGTTTTTTTTTTAATTTTAATTACATAGATTTCATGAACACGAAACTGTAAATTTCCGCCAGCAAGGGTTTCTGAACCAAAGAAGTAAATCCAAAATCAAAAACATATAAAGCAAAAGAAAAAAATATACATAATATATGCATGATTACATTCTGAATTCCACATGATTAAACGTCACAGCATTGAATTAGGCCGTTTACTGTAAAAAAAAAACTTTATTTTTAATTTTAATAGATTTCGTTCAAATCAGGTTAAAACGCCGTTTTACATTTTCTGGCAGTGTTGCTTTCCCTTTCACTTTTTGCTTTTCTTCAAACAGTACTTCGCGTCCAACTGAAAACAAGGCACGCTGTTAAAGTTCAAAGCTAAGAAAATCAAGTTAAACTAATTATGAAAACACAAAAAAATATGCTTAAAAATATCGAAAATGCATCCACACAATAAGAATACTCAACTAGCTTGACTTATAATTGTTTAGTAATAAATTTTCATTAGCGATCGAAATGAAAACCCCACTGAAAAAGCTATCGTTTTCGTAGGCATAGAAAAAATTTTTGGAACATATATTGTAGTCCATAAAGAAAAAGCAAAATTAGACTCAGACTGATAATGGAAACAATAAATAGCATTTCCTACGGGAAATCGCTCCATAAGAAATAAATACTTTAAAAACAATAGATTAAACAACATTTTTCAAATCAGTCCAAAAGTTGTTTTTTTTTCCCTTCCTTTCTTCAACCGTTACTCCATCTGCTCTCCGAGATGATTTTTTTGACTTACATCTTAGTTCCTTCACCGTCAAAAACCAAATTTTTTCTTGATACATAAGTTAAATGAGCTTACCATCACCTAACTTTCCTTTATTTAACTAATTATTCAGTGAGTTTCAAATTTCATGAATGTACTCAACCATAGTAGATAAGTTGACGTGTTGAATGTACTTAATTACTTCATAAGAAAATAAAATATCCACATAAGTTAGTTACTTGCAGGATCATAAAATATTCCACGAAACTTATCCGCTGTACGTTCACGTATCCATATACGCGTAGAACCCGATATAACACTGGCCAACTGCACTATTACATACCTGAAAATTCAAACTGAGAAAAGGGAAAGAATGAAGTCTAATCAGCAAAGTTATTTTCCTTTTTTGAAAAATATAGCAGTCATTGTATTACACAAAGTCCCAAGAGATTAATTAAGAAATTAAAATTGGAATTATTTGACGGCAACACTGAGAATTCTTTCCATTGCATTATACTTATGCAAAAATGAATGAAAGAAGAAAAGTATGATTAAATGACATATATCGTTGTGAAATCAATCGGTTACGGAATAGATGGAAATACTACGTAATATTACGTTATATTACGTGACCACCAAAACACTAATCCAGATCTTCCTGAAAGTTTCCATCGAAAATCCACTTACCTTGACTTTGGGGGCATCTTCACTAACACAAGAAATGTACTGCAAAGAAATATGTATGGTTTGACAGGAATGGCAATTTCTCTCACTGTTTAAGTAGTCGAAATGAAAATCTTAGTCCCACTTTCATGGACCTCAAAATGGCTGAAGACTGATATCGGTTACATTATCAGGGTTTGTTTCGAAGTCTGACCAACAATTATATATTTTATATGCATAATTTAAGGGAAGTTAAATTAGCAGTTCTTCTTGTCCAACTTTACTATTTGATCGAATATTAATTATGGTTTAATTATTTTATTTCAACTATTTAATTTTTCGTTTTACTATTTACTTGTTATTGTTTGCATGAAAGGGAACAATTTAAGGAAAATATTGAATAATTTGATTTGTAAACTTTCCAGGAAATTGAAACTATGCCGTATTCAGTAAACAGTTACGTCAGCATGAAGAATATTCTTTGAACTTATTGTAAAGTTCAACGAACTTTTACTTTTTTTTTTTTGGAATTTTCATCAGTGCTTATCATTTATTATTACTTCAACAAAAAATTATCAAGAGATAAACGAAACTTTCAAACAAAACAATGTCTAAAACAGTAGAAAAATGAAACTTCAATTATAAATCCATTACATAAACAATGATTATAATCCAGGTTTGTTTGGAACGAAGTAATCATTCACTTTTGACTGATGAGCTTTTGATAGGATTCAAGCATATCAGTAGTCATCCCAGGTTTTTATCATACTTATCATTTAATTCACAAATTTGATAAAATACTTTGTGATTAAATTCACTTTTGGCTCCATTTATTTTGAGAAGAAAGAGAGATATTCGATTGGTTCATTCCGAATATATAAATGGATTAATGGATAGATGTAAAGGTATGATTAATTCGTCACGTTAAAATTTGACTATATTGTTTATTGAGTAGGTTAAGAAATTAATTCCTGCAATATTTTCTTCTGACTTGGATTGATACGGAATGTGGACAAATCTAGAAGCGTTTTAATGCCAAGACAACGTGCCATTGTGATAGCATAATGACGAATAGCATCCCGAACTTCTGGATCACTACAGCTTCGAGGTGGTGTTTTTAACAATTCCCAAAGAACCGGAAGACCTGCTGCTTCTGCTTGTCGTGGCTTAATCGAATATCCTGATTCCATTAATTCTATAAAGTTCAAAAGTTTACCCAAAAAAAAATCTGAAATAATTATTTTATCCAAATAATTTAAACAATTACGCTAAGATAAACATTATTTGGTAAACCTGAGAATATGCGGGTGTAATGCATGTAGTACAGAGGAATTAGTACATTTCGTTTTTCAATTTAATTAAAGGATTAAAGGAAATGTATATCATTTAAAAAATTTTAAATAATTTTCATATTTAAATTTACTTAGAAATAGAATACTTACTGCTAAGAGTATGCAACATAAATGGTTTTTGCTTCACATTAGCTTGCTTTGTTGCAGCTGCAAATGGTGCCAAAAGAGCTACATTTTCTGCAACAAATATAATATTAAAAGTGTGAATTGAAACCTAAGTACTTCAATTTGAAATTAAATTTGAAATATGAATGTAAAATATTAGCATAAAAAAAATCCAAATGAATAGATTACACAAAGATGTTATCATATCATCGTCCATTTTAAAACTCCCTCAAAACAAGTCTATCATGTTACATTTATCCATTTGTGATTAAATTTAGCTTAACAATTTCTGGAATGAAATTCCACCAAATAAAATTAGTAATTTTAAAAAGTTTCAAAAAACTTTCTACCAATATATTTTGTGATTTCTTCAAAGCATAATTTGGCATGCTGTCGATGTCCTTCGCTACGACTAGCCAAATGTGACATCAATGAGTTGATAAGCTGATACAACACTGCTTTCAATGATGTTCCATTTGAAAAATGACTACAAAATATATTTGCGCCAAAAATTATATTATAGAAACAAAAATAAAAATGAGATTGTGCACGAAAAGATATAATTTGATGCCAAATTTTTTTTTTTTTTAACCATAAACCGCCATTTATGATACTATTTATGCTAATGATATTTACGCCTCATTATATTTCAGGATAATTACTTAAATTTTATACCATACCATATCATATCACTGATAATAATTTTTTATACCATACCATATCACTGATAATAATTTATTCTGCTTAAGCACAATTAACGTATATATGATTTATGTTGTTTAAAGTTTTTAAATCAAATTTATCTGGATATGTTTCGATATAGATGATAATAAGAATATTTGTTAAAACTGATAATAATGTTACTTACGGAGAAAGTATTGGAAGAATGGTGATAAGTGTTTCCATTGCTTCAACTGATACTTTAAAATTGATATCTGATGTACGGCCAACAAATGCTCCCAAAACTTTTGTATCCGATATTGCTGCTCGATCATTTCTCATTACTATTTCCGAGAATTCTTTTAAACCTTGCATTCGTCGTTCCCATCTTGTAAAATACAATAAATATATAATAATGAAATGATCGTTTTTCTATACTGTTTATATACTGTATTTTTTTAGTAATTCTATACTGTATTTTTTCAGTATATTTATAGCTTTAAAAAAATATTATAATTAACTCATTAATCAATCATTGTAGTAATTTTTGTAACTGTTAATCCTATACAGTACTTTTTATGTTTATACGAATGTTTATGCCATAATTTACTTTAAAATTAATGGAATATCATAATTTACTTTAAAATCAATGGAATATTAAAAAGGATTCAACAGGATTAATGATAATTTGAAAAGTATCAATATTCATTTCAAGTATACTGTTATCTTACATTACGTCTCATATTCGCTTATCTTCACGTCTTTTTTTTTTTTGTAAATTCATATTAGCACCTTTCTTTTACGTCATTTTCACGTTACATTCCTTTTACATTAAAAGTGTCTTTCATTTTATTAAACCTATCTCTATCATTCATTTTTTCTATTGAAAAATTAATTATAGTTACTTTCTTTTTCTCTCCAAGTATATTTAAATAGGATATTTAAAAAGTTACTCGCTAGCAATAAGATTATTTCGAATTTCCAGCAAATCCTGTTGTATGCCTTGTGATATCAATAAATCTCGTCCATTACCACCACCAGATCGTCGTATACTACCACTTCTACTAATTGTTCCTAATGATAATGATGATGAACCAAGAATACCATCCTCTAAACCCTATAAGAATGAAATGATTAAAAAAAAAAAATAAAGGAGAAATGAATGTATAAAATAGAAAATCAATTAATTTTTTTTTTTTTTTT